CGTGATACGTGCCTGTGTATTTGACCTCCTGCTTGCAAGCAATAAATGGACTTTTTCCAACTTTGATCATCCATCAAGACTCTGTTTTATCAGGCAAATCATTCTCTTCTACCGAGCTTTTATTGAAATATTCCACAACAATTTGGCGTCACGAACAGGATACACTGACCGTCCGTCAGGCTCCAGGGGACCGTCCGGGGAAAAAGGCCTTTTCCAGGATCACCAGCTGATGATCCTGCCTCATACCTCCTTAGACAAGAGAGAAAGGACCGGCGGAAACCAGAGGAGTCCTGATTGACGTCACGTGTATCCAGCGAAAAAGAATTAATTTCTACTAACTCGGGTAAGAAGTTGAAATTCCGATTATAAAGTAACAGTAAGACTTGAACATAACGGAAACGGATGACTGATCAAGTGGTTGTTATAGTCTGGGGAATAAAATTATTATCATTATTATTATTTTTTTTTAACATTTTGGGTTTTTATTTTTTTTTATTTTTTTTATTATTTAGTACATGATTCCGGGATATTTCTAATGCATCATTTTATGCGAAGGTAGATAGGATCGTTCGACTTCACTCGGAACAAATTCTCCGAGATCGTAACGCAGATCGCTTGACTACCCGGGTAAAATAAGACCGTTGTTATCGACCAAACGTGAATTCCACCTGTGGAATAAGATCGTGGAAATAGTATACGTGAATTTTATGCTGAAGCAGGAAAAACGATATCACTGTTATTGATAACCAAACGTGAGTTCTATTGAATTACCTTTAGAATAAGATTGTGGCAAAATCGAAGCGTGAGTTTTGAGTGGGGTTTTTGCAAAGTTTTTCCTCGAGTAAAGAAACTAAGGCTTACGGTGACGACTGTATTGTAATAAGTAAACCGGTAGGGTCCACCAGTAAAAGATGGGTGGCCAGTCTGCAAAACACACGGAACGTCGGGTCCGATTGTGGCAATGATGCAGCAGAAATACGGGAAAACACGTACAGAGTGTCGCCCATACTGGACAAAAGAGTTTGGGTTCCCAGAAAACGGCTCGTTGAGTGCCGCTAAACTTAAAATGTCAAGAGGGGATTTGGAAGGTTGGAAGAAAGGTTAAAAAAAATAAAAATAAAAAAATGGAAAGTGGTAAAAAGATCTAAGTTAAAGACTTGGAAATAATAGAGAAAAACAGACATGTCTGGCACAATGGGAAATGGAATGTGAATGCAGGGAGAGAAAACGAATGATGAAGAAAATGACGTGTTTAAAAACTGAAAAACCTGACATTGAAACACAGAATAATCCATGTGTGTCTTCCCCACTGTATCCATCCCTGACAGGGGCAGGCGGTCCTCTCCTGAACACGTGTTATCAAATTCCTGCACCACCACCAGTCCAACAATCACCACCACCGTACAACCCCGATCCTACGGTTGGCAGACCTGTAACACGCAGTCAAACCCGGCTGGGAGACCAGGGAGGTGCAGACGTCAAATCATGCTCACCCCTCAACCCATTCAGACCTGACCCCACAGCTCAGTCCACCCCGGCTCTGCGTGGTCAATCCACGCCCCATCCCCCTGGAGGGGCACAGCCAGCAGAATTGTGGATTTTCTTAACACCACCATGGACAGTAAACTGGACGGGTCTTATATTCAAGCCCCCATGTTTCAGGTTCCAGGGCCACAGGATGGACTACCTGCCTCCCATCTGCCCACCATAGAAAATGGCGTGGCTTTTGGAAAAGAGTTCCTGACGTTATGCAAAGACATAACAGCCATCTGTGCTGCTGTGGTTGCGGCCTTCCCAGTCAACATGGCCCTCATCAACAGCACGAAACAAGGTAAAGCCGAAGATGTAACATTTTACTATCAGCGTCTTGTGGCTGCCTTTCAGATTCACAGCGGCCTCGAGGAGCCCACAGACATAACCAACATGACTGTGTGGGAAACTCATCTCAAGAACGCCTTCATGAACGGGCTTCTGCCAGACGTCAAAACTGCCACTGAACACTCTGTCGTGGGTCTGGAAGATGCAAGGCTCACAGAAGTGGTAAAACATGCACGACACAACTATAAAATGCATGTGGAAAATCAAATGTGTCGAGACAAACGCAGCAAGCAGACAGGGGAGAAAGTCCAGCTTGCGATGCTTCAAGCTGTAAAACAGTTGACACAGGGTGCAGAAGGAGGACGAGACCCCCACCCATCCGGAAATACTTATGGGAGGGACCAACAGAGAGGACGAGCGTATGGAATAAATCATGGGAGAAGAGGGCGTTTTCAAGGAGGGGCCCCACGAGAAGTGCAACCCGATGAATGCTTCCTCTGTGGCAAAACAGGACATTGGTACAAAGACTGCCTCTCCCGTTCAAACCAGGTACGTCAGCCACGTGGACGACAACGCCACGCCGGGACTGACAGAGGGGGTCAACCATTCGGCACATCAGACTGACGGTGTGTGTGGGATGGAGATTGCACGTGTGAAGGGATGACGACTGCTGCCTCTCCAAAACAGGGAAGTGAAACACACCACACACAAACACAATGCTGCCATGAAGACCTGCTTCCTCGCACGCACACCCACATACACATGCACACACAATGCTGCAATGAAGACCTGCTTCCTCGCACGCACACCCACATACACATGCACACACAATGCTGCAATGAAGACCTGCTTCCTCGCACGCACACCCACATACACATGCACACACAATGCTGCAATGAAGACCTGCTTCCTCGCACGCACACCCACATACACATGCACACACAATGCTGCAATGAAGACCTGCTTCCTCGCACGCACACCCACATACACATGCACACACAATGCTGCAATGAAGACCTGCTTCCTCGCACGCACACTGCAGAACAACATGCTGTTTTGCTCAGCATCATTTCTCACTTAGAGCAACAGAATACATCCACACCACCGCCACTCACGTATGCTATGTTTTCATCAGATGCATACAAAGATATGCCAACTACAAGAGTAATTGTGGAAGGGAAAGAATTGGCGTTTTTAGTAGACTCCGGAGCTACTCATTCAGTAATCCAAGAAAAACATTTTCCAAATCAAAAAATGAGTGGGCGATATGTATATTCTCAAGAGGCTTCAGGTTTGACTGTGACAGAAAAATGTACTGCACCTATGACGACAGTACACTCTGACGAGACTGACCTAAACCCTGACATAAAAGTAAAACATTCTTTTTTACTCTCTTCACTCTGTCCCATGAATCTGATGGGCAGAGACTTGATGTGTACATGTGGTATTTGTTTGACGTCATCTCCAGACGGCCTTAAAGTGGTTCGGCGTAGAGCCGCACTCCAAATGGTGCAAAAGGCTCCCTCTAATCCTCTTTTTGTGTATCAGTGGTGGATCCCGATCGATGAAGCTCGGAGGCTAAGCCAGGCTGGTGAAGCACGGGTTTCTCCTCATGCAGACGTATGAACCCTGAACACCTGCATTGCACAACATATGTCTCAGAGGGTCCAGACGACTCTTTTGAAGAGACATTTTTTGAGGCCCTCAATGATGCAATTGCCTGTTCTACTTTGTACTGGTCAACTTGTAAATCTGCTGTGTCTGTTTCTCTGTCTCCCACACAGAAAGAACTGTTTCAAGTTCTCGGCTCCTATCCATCCTATCCATGTTTCACTGTCTAAAGGACGCCTTGACCAATGGAGGGATTTGGGACCATTTGTGGCTCAGTGTGAATCTCTCACTGACTGGGAGGAGACAATCGATCCACTCGTTCTGCGCTCCGCCTCTACAGGGTTTCACAGAACTCACTGTGTACACTGTTGCGTATTTCTCCGCAAAGCTCGACCCTGTCGCTGCAGGACTAACACAATGTTTGCGCGCTGTGGCCGCGGCTGAAAAGGCGCTCACAGCCTCACGTGGCATACTGGGTTACGCACCACTCACTCTGCTCGTTCCGCACGCGGTTTCTTTGATTCTCCTCGAACAGAAAACATCTCACCTCTCTGCGGCTCGTTATTTGCGTTACCACATGTGTCTCCTGGACATGCCGAATGTCACTATAAACGTTGTACTAACCTAAACCCTGCATCATTACTTCCTATTCCTAGGGATGGGGGGGACCACAACTGTTTGGCTGAGCTCCAAGCTCAGTGCACTCCTCGCCCTGACCTAGTGGACACTCCATCGCCTAACAGCGACATGGTGATGTATGTGGATGGATCCGCCTCCCGCGATCCTCAGTCTGGTGAAAATCGTGTTGGTTTCGCTGTTGTTTCTGACTCAGGTGTGCTGTGTTCAGGTCCTCTGCCATGTCCCCTCTCAGCCCAGGCAGCCGAGCTCATCGCTCTGACCGAGGCCTGTAAACTGGCTAAGGGTAAAACAGTCACAGTTCACACTGACTCTCGCTATGCGTTTGGTGTACTACATGATTTTGGGGTGCTGTGGAAACACAGGAACTTCCTTAAATCGGACGGTAAGCCCATCCTACACCACACTCTCATTGCTGAACTGTTGGAATCCATCTTGCTACCCACAGCTATTGCTGTCTGTAAATGTGCTGCCCACACGTCCAATACGGATGATGTATATATGATGCTCGAGCAGACTCGGCTGCAAAAGTTGCTGCTCTGCTTCCGCTTCCCACTACCTGTGCTCTCATGTGCTCTGAGGAGTCAGTTCCCTCCTCTCTTACAGCGATGCAGTCACGCTCTACCCCTGATGAAAGACGGCTTTGGTCCACATCTGGCTGTTTTTACACCAACGGTATCTGGACTGGACTTGACGGCAAGCCGTGTTTACCTAAACACTATTTTGCTCATTATGCTAAATTGACTCATGGGTTAGACCATGTGTCAAAAGGGGGAATGTTACGTGCACTTAATGAGACGTGGTTTACAAAAGGGTTCACAGCATATGCACAAAAATTCTGTTCTGCATGTGTCACCTGTTCTACTCACAATGTAGGCGGGCCCGTGGGCGTGTCCAGCCAGGCTGCACACCCACCACCAACCCGCCCGTTTGAGCACATTATGATGGATTTTGTGGAGTTGTCTCCATCACAAGGTAAGAAACACTGTCAAGTGATGGTAGACATGTTTTCCAAGTGGGTTGAGGTTTTTCCATCAAGCAAACAAACCACTACAACAGTAGCCAAGGCCCTGATTTCTGAAATCATTCCTCGATGGGGCATTCCTTCTAAAATATCAAGTGACAATGGTTCTCATTTTGTCAACCAGGCCATTACAGAATAAGGCGCATACCTGGGTATTGATTTAAAAACACACTGCGCATACCATCCAGCCAGTGGAGGGGCTGTGGAACGAGAAAATGGCACACTCAAAACCAAATTGGCAAAATGCTGTGCAGACACAGGTCTGCCCTGGACAAAAGCCCTGCCTCTAGTGTTGATGTACATGCGCATGAGAAAACGAACACCAAGCTACCTGAGTCCCTTTGAGATATTGTTTGGTTTTCCTCCTAACGTAGGAACCGAGGCACTGAAGGCACCACTCTCCTCAACCGCATTATGCGAACATGAAATGTTAACATGTTGTGCACAACTCTCTTCTGCTCTGTCTAACATACGACAACAGGTTGCAGCCGCCCTCCCAAAACCAGCTGAAGGCCCACTCCACAAGCTGAAACCTGGTGACTTTGTGATGGTGAAAGACTTCAGAAGAAAAAACTGGAAAGCACGACGCTGGCAGGGACCATTCCAGATCCTCCTTGTCACCCAAACAGCTGTCAAAGTAGCTGAGAGAGCAACTTGGGTCCACGCGTCCCATTGCAAGAAGGTTCCAGATCCAGTACAAGCAGTGGGCTCAGGCGACCCTACCTCCACAACAAGTGTCAATCCAATCCAACCGACACCACCGATCCAGTGACCACGGACGGGCAGTTGACCGACAGACACACAGTGCATTGTGATCTGTGTTGACTGTCTACAACGCGGATGCCTCACAAGAAAGAAGGTTGGCAGACTCCACATCCCAACGTGTACCTGCGGACCAACACAAGAAGAAGAACACGGCCAGGACCCCTCCACATAGACACAGTAGTCGTTTGTGTCACTACGGTTTCATTCATATTATTGCTTGCTTCAGTTTCATTATCTAAGTATCTTTTTGTGATTTGTAATCAGCTATCTAAAGAGTGGTTTACATTTGTTTGCTAAACACGAGACATGGTCTCACAAAAACATATTTTTTTTTGCAATATTATTTGTGATTAAAGAATAATCAAAAGAGTGGAATCTAATGGTAAAAAATATGTTATAACATTGTTTTGTGCTAAAGCCGTGTCTCAAGTGTCCTGTATTTGACCCTGATGTGCAAAGAGCAGCATGATACAAAATGTTGCTTTGCAGCTGTGTCCTGAGAAAGGAGGACGGTCGACTCGAGCTCATAGACGCTTCAAAACAAAGGACTCCTCTTCATGGCCTTGGTTGATATCTTATTCTGCACGAAAGTTCTGGATCCAAGTTTTACTTTCATGTCAAGTAACAATGATTTGCAGCGGCCATTGAGGAGGATCTTGTGTGTGTGTGTTTGTGTGTGTGTGTGTGTGTGTGTGTGTTTGTGTGCTGCCCTCAGCTTCACCTGGGTTCTTATCTCAACCTGCTTTGAAGCTTCTCGTAACTGGCACGGAGAATGTTCTTCACATGTGTATAAAAACTCAGTGTCTTTTGTGCTCGGAGACGCCATTTCCACAGAGCACCGTGATACGTGCCTGTGTATTTGACCTCCTGCTTGCAAGCAATAAATGGACTTTTTCCAACTTTGATCATCCATCAAGACTCTGTTTTATCAGACAAATCATTCTCTTCTACCGAGCTTTTATTGAAATATTCCACAACAGTTGTATTTAAAATCAGCTCTGAGCCTCTACAACAAAATCTACAATTATCTCACATTACACAAGTTATATTCATTTTCATTTAATAATAATAAAGAAACAGTTCATTTAGGAAAAGGCTTTTATTTTAGTAGCTTAGCATAGCTTAGCATAACTTTGTCTCCAAGCTAAATGGTTCAAGTTGAGTCAGTCGTACAAATACTGAAGATCAATAAAAGGAAACGTGAGAAACAGCTGAGTCAGTTTATTGATTTTCAATCATAATTACTTGAAAACAAACATTTTTCCATAAATGAATAAAAGCCACTGAGCTTCTTACAGACAAACATGTTTACAAGATTCATTCTGAATTTAGTTCTTATACTTTAAACACGTCGTGTTCTTCAAACTGTTAAAAGTGCTGCTGAGACACAAGCAGAGGTCAAAGGTCAACGGGTCTGACTTCTTATTTTAGAGTTTATTATTAAAAGAAACAGATGAGAGAAAACAAGATGAGATCATCGCGACGCCGTCATCGTTATTTCAAAATAAGAGCAGAAGATTAATTCAATAAATGAATGAGATTCAGAGATAATTAACAACATTAATTAGACTGGATTAGATGATGAAGATGATGAAGATGAGACTCCTACATGATGAAGATCATTAACCAATCAGCTGCACTCGTTTCCTTTGATGAGGAAGAAGGTTCCAGCAGCGACGCCGAGGAGACCAACAGTCAGACCGACTCCACAGAAGACCGCTGGTCCAACGCTGGGCTGAGACACCTGCACATCTGGAGACAGAAAGACACCTTCAGCTTCACATCTGGAGACATGAAGCTCAGCCTCCACATGTGGAGACAGAAGTGAGTTGTTTGTTGTGTCTCACCATAGAACTTGACCAGTGGATGGTCCAGGGCCAGATGTTCCACCATGCAGCTGTAGATGTCTCCCAGCTTTGGGGTGAACTTAAGGGTGGAGAACTGGTTGAAGGTTCCGTCGTTGTTGAGGTAGGGAACGTTCCTGCTGGATTCTTCAGTGACGTTCTCCTGGTTCTTGGTCCAGGAGAACGTCACTGGAGCAGGATAGAAACCAGTCACATGACAGATGAGCGAGTTCTTCTCTCCCAGTTCCACGCCGTCTTTGGGGTAGATCATGTGACTGGAAGGAGGATCTGAAGAGAGAGAAGCTCTTATTAGAATCCCTCTCATGAAGAACCAGTTTGACCTTCAGGATTCATTCTGGCTTCTGGTTTGGTGCCTCAGATGAACCCTGTTGTCCACGTTCTCCTGACCTCCACCCACCTGGTTCCCCAGAGACCTGAAGGAGCAGAGTCCTCCTCCTGAAACCTACGTCAACATCTGGAGTTTGTGAGTAAACAAACTGTTTGTTTGTTGTTCTTCAGACTGGTGTTTATCTGTAGGTGTTGACTTGTTGTATTTGTTTACCTCTAAAGTCAACAATAAATATCTTAAATAAAGTTTGATTTAAACTGTAAATACAGAAGATAAATTCCAGCAGCTAAAAGAACAAACAAGTAAACACAATCAAATGATTTCATGATGCTGTTTTTACTTCATGTCACATAAAACTGTTTAATAACAGAAAGTCAGACGTTAAAACACTTTAATGACACAGTAAAATAATACATGTATATATAAGTATACAAGGGGCGGCACGGTGGCGTGGTGGTTAGCACTGTTGCCTCACAGCAAGAAGGTCCTGGGTTCGATTCCGCCCAGTGGCCTTTCTGTGTGGAGTCTGCATGTTCTCCCCGTGTCTGCGTGGGTTCTCTCCGGGTTCCAAAGACATGCTCTGGGGATCAGGTTGATTGGGGACTTTAAATTGCCCGTAGATGTGTGAATGTGAGTGTGAATGGTTGTGTGTCTCTGTGTAGCCCTGTGATTGACTGGCGACCAATCCAGGATGTACCCTGTCTATCGCCCGAAGTTGGCTGGGATGGACTCCAGCCCGCGACCCTGTGTGCAGGATAAGCGGTTTGACAATGGATGGATGGATAAGTATACAAGTATATATGTGTATACAAAGTATAATAAGTATGAAGTGTCTTTACCTTTCTCCAGTGGGACGTCCTTGAGGCCTTTCACATGAGTTTTCAGGTTAGATCTGCAGATCTGTAGATCAGTCACAGCTTGTTCATAAGCTCCTCCTGGGAACTCTATTGGATCCACGAAACTGGGCAGAGGTCTGACTCCTTTGCCGTGTTTGAAGTCTGCGTACCAGACCTCTTCTCCATCCAGACCAAACATGTTCTCTCCATCAGAGTCAGAACAGCCAAGAACACGTATGTCCTTATGTGGACCTGAGGAGAAAACACAAGGTTTGTTTGTTGTTCAGTCTGTTAGTAAACAAAGAGCCTGTTTATTGGTTGTATTTGTATCAGAACTGAAACATGAGTTTAAAAGTGAGACAGAAACTCACCGTCGGCTGAGACACAGAAGACACCAGAGAGGACGAGGACGACCATCATCTTCATCATCGTCTTGGTCTTCATCAGCTCTCTGTGGACCAGAACCAGACTGAGACTCTGAACCTTCTGAAGAGAACTGAGAGAAACTGCAGCAGCAGCGGAGCTCGTTGCCTCAGCAGCCAATGAGAGAGCAGAGCTGGCGTGATGTCATCAGTGTCCAGGTAGAGAAACACTGCTGCTCACATGGTTTCTGATATCCAGACATGAGGACAGACGGACGCCACTCAATCAATAATCAATACTGTGTTCATAGAGGCTTTTCAGAATAAAGCCTTTAAATACAGATGTTAAACTAAAGATTCATCTTCAACATTAAGATTCACGAGATGATTGTTTAGAAGGAATGAATACAGAAGACGTGAAGTTGAGACGCTTCTCCTTCGGTCCAAGGAGTCATCTGAGGGAACTAGGAAGCATCGAAGGCCTCAGGACCCTCCAGAAGCATCTGGAACCTGCTGCCCCCCCGACCCTGAATGGATGGAGGATTAAAGTAGAAGCTGTGATTTTGTAACGTGATGAAAGCGACTCTTCACAGAAAGAGAAGCTGTGAAACACGAGAAACACTTTTCACTTTTTAATGTGAAAACAAGTTAAAAGTTCCAGTTTCCTCGTTCTGTTCACCACCAGAACCAGTCGGACCGCTGGAGGCCTTCAGGGGCCTCAGAGCAGCCAGGACCTCCCAATACCACAGATACAAGACGCTCAGGTTCCCTGCAGCGCCTGAACGCAGCAGCGTGCTGGAAAGTCCCGCTCTTCACTTTCACTTCCTCCTCAGCAGCCAATGGGAAGCAGAGCTGCTGATGAGTCATCGGTTACCAGGCAGACCTGAGGACACGGAACGACACACAGCACACTTATCACATTGACCTGATGATGAGGATGAGGAGGAGGACGATGATGATGATGACAATGATGATGACGACGATGATGATGACGGTGATGATGATGATGATGAACACATACGAGGAGTTCACGACCATAATCGGAGTATTTTAATCATTTGTGTCGGATGAATTGAACGTGTTGTAACGTGACATCTTTCACGTTGTTCATTCTGTCTGTCCATCGCTGTCTGTCCGTCCCGAGGAGGATCGTCCTCTGTGTCTCTAAAGGTTCCTTCATTCTCCCCATCGAAGGCTTTGTTCTGTCCCGATGAGGGTTTCTGCTCAGAGGAGGTCACATGTGTACAAACTGTAAAGACCTCTGAGGGTAATTTGTCATTTTTGATTATAGAAATTTAAATGAATTAAATAAAATATGTATAGCAAAAACTAAAAGACCACGATGGTTAAAAGTTAAATGTGTACGTGTTGGGAAAGTACAGGTTCATTTTAAGTGTCTCATCAGCAATC